AGCTCCTGCCTACTGAGACCACGGGAGTGTAAACTATAGACACCGTCATCATTAAACTCATAAATCCATGTCGTTCGTGTGTCATTCACCTCATCCTCATTCATCATCCCTTACATTTGCAGAACGGCCGTACGTTTGAGGATTTTGAAGAACGGTTTGCTGCGGCCACTCCGGTAAGAGTGAGAGGGCTCTGGCTAGTTCACTGTTTTTAACTGTTTCATGTCATCATCCCATCGTTCATCTCATGCTCATAAGTCGTGCCTTGTGGTTACAGAACAGAAACTTGCGGATGGACTTGGATGAGATTTTTGAGGCAACGAAGGTAAGGCCTCCAGGCTCTTGTTCAGTGAGGGTTCTGGTCATTCTCATGTGTTCCATCTTATCCTAGGCCAGCCAGCATGAATGGCAGGTGCTCTGCTTTGCTCCAATGGGTGCCTATTCTACTGTTCACAGGAAGACTATCAGTGAGCCTGCGATGAGGTCAAATAGTAAGAGAGAGAGAGAGAGAGAGAGAGAGAGTGTGTGTGTGTGTGTGTGTGTGTGCTTGTGTGAGAGAGAGAGAGAGCATGTTGGAGAGGAAGTGACACCCTTTTGTTTCATTCAATAAATATTTTTCAAGCTCCCAACATGTCCTAGGCATTCTGATAGATCTTACAGATGTAGTAGAGAGGAAGACAAGGTCCCTGTCCTCAGGAAGCTCATGGTATATCATAATGCAACGTTGCATAGCAAAGGATAGGACAGGGTAAGGTAGTTAGCCTAATATAGTGTAGTATAACACAGTATAGTGGGATCCAGACACATAAACAGGATGTGCCAAGTGCACCTATGGGAATAACAACCAGGCAAGGCTGCTATCCAGTGTGTATATCCTGGAATAGATGTACTGGTTTGCAGCCAGTGTTTATTCAGATTGGATAATACACAGGCCAATGAATATTATCACTCCTGATACAGGGTGTTTGGAAAGCCTCTAAGACAGGGATCTTCAACCTTGGTTGCAAACTAGAATCACCAAGAGAGCTTTGAAAGTCCAAGTTACTAGGCTGTACTTCAAACCAACTAATTCAGAATCTCGAGGGGTGGGAACCAGGCATCAGTCTTTTTCCCCCAGTGCATCCAAGGTTGAGAACCACTGATCTACAACTATCACATAGGCTGTTCTGGGTAGTGCAATGGGGTGTAAATTGAGTTAAGAAACACTTTCCAGAAAAAAAAAATCTTCTGATTTATGTCCTGAAGGATGGGTGGGAAAGGCAATGGGGGAAGGAATGAGTGCTCTGGGGAGGAGGAGCAGCATGTGCAAAGGCCCTGAGATGGTCCCTCCTTTCATAACCCCGTACTCCTCCCCTCCATAACACTGCTCTGATTGTGTCTGTAGGTCTGTCTGTCCATGAAACAGCCAGCTCATCAGAATAGGAACAGGAACAAGCCTTACTTGTCCCTGTATCCCCTGCTCTCAACACAGTAGCTGATGCACAATAGGGGCTCCATCCTTTTCCTAAATGAAGGACTTCCTGATGCCAAAACATACGGAGTGGGTCTGTGAGAGTGTGTTTGGGGGTCAGCCGAGGACATCTCAGCCTTCGTCAGTGACACCTTCAGGACTTCTCTACAGGAGGGGCCCAGGAGGCTGGTTGCAGCAGTCTAGTTGAGAGAAGGACCAGGAGACTCGTCTTGAAACAGCACTGGTACAGGACTCCAGATATTATTGTGAAAACATCCATTCTTCATGTCAAAGAATGGCTGGGGAGGGGACTGGCCTGTTGGAGATATTGAAGGGTTTCCCCCTTCAACAGCCAAGACACTCCTCCTCCCCTTCACTGGCTTGGTGGCTTCCAGTGTCACTCTGCTTACCCTGAAGGGGCAGAGTGGGGCAGAATCTGCCATCAACAGCCACATCTCTCTCTGCCTGGAGACATCTGAAGTGCCAATAATGGAAAGGCAAGCAGGCATCTCGAGCTGACCTTCCAGATGACTTCTTCAGATGGATGTACATCATGGCAGACCTTTTAGGAACATGACTTCTGCTTAGAGAATATCGTGGGGCTGGACTTCCACCATTTAGGAAGGCTTACTAGGGCTTGGTAAAGTGATCGATAGATAAACAAGAGGCTACTTGGTCTGTGGGTCAAGCCCAGCTTCTTCTAGCTGACTGATCAGAGGCATGCCACTTAACCTCTTGGTCTCAGCTCATCTGCAAGATGAGGATAGATACCTGTGCTGCTGACCTCACGGGGCCCAGTGAGCATCAGACATGATGATAATGTAGGAAAATGTAAACTGTAAAGTGTTTTACAAATGTGAATGGTTAGTTTTATTCTCTTGAGGTCATTAAAATGATTAATTATGACAATATTATCAGATGGAACATGGCTTATTAGGTTACAAATTAAAGGACTAGGGTTAACATGGGGAGAGAAGCTGTGAAAAGATATTATTCCAGATTTTCAATCACATGTGGTTATTAGAATTATTTTTATTTTATAGCCTAAGAATCCCCTTTTTCTATAAAATTTAATTAACTCAAGGTTCTATTTAAACAGCAAATCCAATGGAATGAAATAACAATCTATGTTTTATGCCTCTGCGTGTTTTTCTCGTTTAATCCTTGAGTGAAAATCATCTGGCAAGAGAAAAGTCTATATCTCAAGAATGAAGGTTATTTTAAAAGTTGTGCTTAAGGAGAAAATTAGCCAATAAATTATATTTATGATGTTAGTAAAAGTGTGCCACGAGTTCAACACATTTGAAATGTAAATTGTGTGACTTAATTATTAACTTCATTTTAATATTTTCCTACCACTGAAAATAGTCGTGGGCCATTTTAAAAGCATTGAGTTCCAATTGCGAGGAGGCCCAGAAGCTTCATTTGAATTGATTAAATAGAATTACTTCTTTTATGAATTTAGGAGAGAGCCTAAAGGATTGGCATAGTTTCACCAAATAATATAAAATATTGTTAACATGCTGAAGAAGGCTTACTGAAAACAAGCAAGAATTTAGGGTCCCGCCGGGTGGGGGAGCACCCTGCATGCTGGCTGCTTCATTACCATCTCATAACTCTGGACTGTTACTGTATGAGAGAGAATCATGGTAGTAAAGAGTTGGTGGAAAAGATGGAAATGCACGCAAGCCCCACACTACCTTGCCCCTGTCCCTGTCGCCGGTCTCCTCTCCTGCTCCTCTCTCCACCCTCAAGCCACTTATGCCCAATGGCGTATACCCCACCCGGTCAGGCTGTTCCAGGCCTCCATCCTTCTTGCTTACAGACTTGCATCTGCCTTGATCGTCCCTCCTCTTCTTGGTTGCCTGGCTAACTGCTCCTCTCAGAGATCAAGTCCTTGAGAAAACCCTCGTTAAACGTCTTTGCCAAAAGCTGGCTGGATCTCCTTCTAGGTGCTCCCACAGAGACCTCTGTCACCATTCCTGCCACATTACCTTGAGATTATCTGCATCTGTGGATCATCCCCACCTGACTGGAAGCTCCCTGCTGGCTGGGACCTGGCATTTCCCATTACATGTTCCCAGCACCGAACAGTCGTGCAATGCGTGCAGGAAAATAATCGTGTTCTTGGGAAGTAAATTAATATTTATAGGGCCCTACTGTGTGCCAGCACTATCATTCAGTCTGAGAGCTTAAGGGGAAGAGTTAAAAGTGAGTTACCCAAGCTAAGCTGCTTTCCTTTCAGCAGGAAGAGCCTTTTGTACCTTTTTAAGCAGGTTTAGCCAAATGTCAAAGCAAGTCCTGCTGTTAATATTGTCAGTCAATCTGCACGGCAGAGAGTGTTAGCCACCAGCGTGATGCTGAGGAGCTGCAGAGGTTGGAAATGGTGGAACTCACATGTGTCCCCAGGCGTGGGGCCCTCTCCAGCACCCAGAGCTCACTCGTTTGCCAGTAGGAGAGAACATGCCTTTCTTTGTGCAAATCGTAGATATGCAGCCGCTCCTGGGTAGAGGAGAATTCGCGTGCAGGGGTCCTGCGAGGCAGGCAGGGCAGGCTCTCCCTGACCGCTCTATGGAGCAGTGTTTTTAGGTTCCCCCAACTAGAAGCTATCACTTAAAATCCAAAGATGAGCAGAACGTGTTTTTCTCTCCGTGGGCAGGTTTGCACAAAGCACATGATTATATACTTTAAGTCAGGCCATTCGATTCCTGGCCACGGACTCCCACAGTCTGGAGCTGGAAGTGCATGCAGATTAATTTCCGAGTGTATCTTAAAGGGCTTCTTCCGCTGCTCTGGCTGGCCTTGCTCAGACACTCCCGGATGATGGATGGGGATATAGACGGTACCGTGTCTGCAGTGATGGAGTTCCTAAGAGTGATTAATAGTGTGTATACTGGGCTGTTTTTGATACCCTTCCTGGTGTTAAATATGTTTTCTTTTCCTCCAACTGCATTTTTTATTCTAAAGACGGACTCGTTCAGGGACTGTCACTTACCTGCATGCTCTATATACAGAAAATTCAAGTTCCGGCCTGGGTGACCTGGAGGTTGCCTCTCTGAGACTCAGTCGATTCATCTGTATAAATGGGGGTGATGATTCCTACCTCTCAGGGTTAGCATTCCTGGAGCATTTCCTGAGAGGTGGCCGTGAAGTCTCATCTTGCTATACTTAGCACAGGAAGTGCATTTTGTGTGTGTGGATACACTCACAAAAGAGAAACAAATGATAGGATTGCCTTTGGGCCTTTATCTCCTGGAGAAGAAAGACAGCGCTGGCATTCGATGGTCGATATGTGTGAAGTGGCATTATTATTGCTTATGAGGGGTGGCTACACCCAGAGAAACAGCCAGACACACTGAAGCGAGAATTGATTCTAGCCACATCCAAGATGTTGTCTTTGGGATCATGAGGTATAGTAATGACCAGCTGGGCTTATTGTTTATATAGTCATGATGCAAAAGAGAAACGTGTGTCCTCATATTCTGTTTTTAAAGCAGTATCCAGCAGCGTCAGCTTTCCTTGTGGTTACATCATTATCTTTTTGTCTTTTCAGGCTGTGACCCAATTAGAACTTTTCGGGGACATGTCCACCCCTCCTGATATAACCTCTCCCCCCGTAAGTATGCACTGCCCTCTGAGCCCTGCATCCCTCCCCTCTCCTTCTTCAGTCGCACGGTGGCAAGAATATGGGCTTTGGATGAAAGAGTCCTGCTCGTGGGTTTCAACTTGGGCTCTTTCAAGCTCTGTGATTTGGGCAAATTAACCAGCAATTCTAAACCTCAATTTCCTCTGCCATTTTTTTTTTTTTAAAAGGAATTATGATACATGCTTCTGTTTTGAGAAATAAATGAGACCATGCATCAGCAATTACAGGCCATCCCGGGGCTAATCACTATATGGTGCGCAGTGGAGAGAGGCATGAATGGGATGTGGCCCCTGCCTGCAAGGAGCACATGGTCTAGTTGAGAATATGGGCAAGAAACCCAACAGGACGACAGACGCGATGAGGCATTTGTCAGCACCTGCCCAGAGCCCGCGCAGCCAGGTGCTCAGCCCAGTACACGAAACACCTTCTCTTCGCCCCTCTTGGCGCCTTCCTCTCCCCTTTCCTTCCTTCCTCTCCCCCTCTTCTTTTTGTTTCCTCCCCACCCCCAATTTGCCTCCTAGCTTTGCTGAGCTTATCATGAAGCTTTGGATTCCCAGCTCCAGCTTCAGCCAGCAAGGTATCAGTCAATGCTTTTAAGAAAAGAGAGATGGTAGGGAGCCGTAATTTGAAAATGACAAGAAGGAAAAAAAGAATGAAAATCGAAGAAAAATAGAATCCCAGTGCTTTGAGAACTGGAGGCGTTCAAAGGCAACCCTGCAGCCACAGCAAAGAACAGAGCCGAGATGGCCCCTCCAGCTCCTCCCTGCCCACTCCCCAGAGGTGGGCGGAGAGCCGTCAGCCACAGCTGCACCAGCTGAAGCTGCTGGAAGGGGGCGCCTCCTCTGGGCGCCGTGCAGTTGTGCACACCGAAGGGTGGTGCTATGGTTCATTGGCGAGATGCGCCTCACACAGAAAAGGCTATAACCTCACCGCTGAGGACAGATGGCACAAGATCCTGCTGCCCACAGCTGCTGCCAGGGGATCTAGGCACAGCTGCCCTGCTCCCAACGCCTGATGTCCAGAGCAGACGTGAAGGAGGGGACAGCAGCTCCTCTCTCCAGGGAAGCTAGACAGCTCTATCGACTCTCATCCTCTCCTCCATCCCGGGGTAACAGCTGCATCCTGGGCACTTGGGATCTCAGAACCATGAGGCTGTGGAGCTAGAAAGTCTGAAGAGATCTTCTAACCTTATCCCCTTCATTTTACAGATGAGCAAACTGAGTCCCAGAGAGGGCATGTGACTCACCCAAGGTCACATAGGGGAAAAGAGAATGGTGTTGATTGTGTTTAAAAGTGCTTAACGCAGCAGCTCACGGCTGCGTTTCTGGCCCTGAACCCAAGTGCAGTCCAAATGGGTAGTTAATAATCCTCAGGACAATGCCATTCGTCGCGCAAACTGCTGATCTAAAAATGGCCTTGTCTAATTGCCATGGTTTCAGGATTAATTGCTTGCCCCAGTCTGTTCCAAGGGGAAAAAAATAAGGATATTATGGCATCAAATAAACATACTCTGTAGGCAAAAGGCTGCTGTGAACCTTTTTTTTTTTTTTGTGAGGAAGATCAGCCCTGAGCTAACATCCGTGCTAATCCTCCTCTTTTTGCTGAGGAAGACCAGCTCTGAGCTGACATCTATTGCCAATGCTCCTCCTTTTTTTTCCCCCAAAGCCCCAGTAGATAGTTGTATGTCATAGTTGCATATCCTTCTAGTTGCTGTATGTGGGACGCGGCCTCAGCATGGCCAGAGAAGCAGTGCGTCGGTGCGCGCCCGGGATCCGAACCCAGGCCACCAGTAGCGGAGCATGCGCACTTAACCGCTAAGCCACGGGGTCGGCCCTGCTGTGAACCTTTAAAAAGAAACTGAGTGCTGGTGTGTTTATTTCAGCATCCCCTCCCCTTACCCACCAGTTCATGCAGCAGACCTTTCTAGAATTCCAGCACGGGCCAGGTATGGTATAGTGTGCAGCTGCTCAGGTATTGTTTTTTTTTTCATCTTCTTGAATATATTGACTTGTTTCTGCAAGTGAAGATTCAGGCAGGATTATGGGAGGCACCATGATACAAGAGTCTCTGCCCAGTCGCTGAGATTTCTTTGTTCCTTTAGCCAAAACTGTCTGTTTACCGTGGATCGAGTGACAAGCCCTGAGCTGGTCCTGAGTGAGTGTATGTCAGTTTGAATTGACCACCTCGAAAGGGTAAACGCCAGACATTATGGAATCATTTGATGGCCTGAAAACACCCCCAGGGGCTTAAACTAAACAGTCATGATACAAGCCATCGTGTGCTGAGCACCTACTATATGCCTCAGCGTGGTACCAAGTGATTTAAATGCATGGCCTCATTTAATCCTCATTTAATGCAGCTCTAGAGGCAGGAATCATTTTTCCCATTTTATAGATAATCTGTGTAACCAGCTCTTGGTCTACACACCACATAAGTGGCCTGGACGGTGGCTGGCTTCTGCAGCACCCCCCTCCCACTTAATTCCTGCACCTGCTGCCTCCCATCCTTGAGGACGGCTGAGCCAGGTCTCCCAGGAGCCTCATGCACCCTCTGCCTCTCTGTCTGCAGACTCCTGCAACTCCAGGTGATGCCTTTATCCCGTCTTCATCCCAGACACTTCCGGCGAGTGCAGACATGTTTGGTTCTGTACCTTTCGGCACTGCTGCTGTACCCTCAGGTAAGCCCTCCTCCACCTGCTTCCCCTTCCCTTCCTTTGGCCTCCACTCATCGAAACAGAGAAAGAGTTGACTTGAACCAGCTGCCGAATATGCCAGAACATCTGTGGAACTACCATTCTCTCCTTGTGACGCTTCAGGTGACATTGAGAAGCTGTCATGTAGGGGTGTGTGGGTGGTGTTTACAAGCTCTGGTATGCTGCTGGGCTGGAATTCAGTGATGTCTTTCACCCGGAAAGTTCAAGATTCCTGGGTACTCAGGTGTATAGCTTTAGGGAGCTCAGTGCACACGCAGCTATGCAAATCAGTGCAAGTCCTTTTCCTCCTGTCCATCTCAGCTAGAAGGAGGGAAGTTGGCGAGTGGGAGAGGAGATGAGTCACCCCTCCACAGACCTCCTGAGGTCTAAGGGATAGAAGGCATCTGCCTCGTTTGATGGAGACTCAAAGAAGGGGAGGTTCCCCACACAAAGGGGGACACCTAAGGGACAAAGCAGACTGCTCACAGTGAATTGGGAGGGTGATGGGGCTCTTGGTGATTTACAAAGTATTTGCTCTGTTTTCCTAATATTCTTTAAAATGTATATACTACTTTTACAACAGGGTAAAATATATATATAGTACCAGTATTGTAGGTGAGTTACAAATTGGTGAGATCTCAGGCATCTTAACCTGTTTCCATGGCATCAGGCACTCCATGTAGCTGGGCCACTCTACTTGGAAAACACCAAAGGTGATATTCTGCTTTTTACATACATGGGAGCCTTAAAGACTTTTTTCTTTCTTTAAATACATATTTGAAATAGATGACTTCATCTTTCTCTTTCTACTTTATTTTTATAAATGGCAAATAGAATTTGAATAATTTAGAATACACATCTTGCATTTTTTCTATAAATGATTACTTTTAATTACATAGCGTTAGAAGCAATTTCTTGCCACCAAATATAAACCTTGCTGTTATTCAAAGTGAATTAAAAATTCATACTCTTTTCTGAAATAGCTACACTTATTCCTCATAAGCTGAGGGATCATTATGAACTTTCAGAAGCAACAGAGGTTGGTAGCCACTGGATTCTAACTTACAGTTTAGAATCTACAGGTAGCCTAGAAATTCATTTAATTGCTAAGCTTCCCAGTCGAATCTGTTTTACCCATTGCTAAAACGGGACAGTGGTGATGACTAGTTTTCCCTACCTAAAATGGATATTAAAATTTCCTTGGGAATAGTGTAATAGAACACGTCATTTTAAATAAGAATAACAGTTTTCCATCAGAAAGGCACCACCTTCCGTGACTTGCGCAGAACACCCATGCTTTGTCCTCATTCTTGGATCCCTGAAGATATGCTGGAACAGATGACAGGAAATCTAGGCACCAAATTTACTAATTTGCAGGCATGTTCATTCCACAGATATTCACCGAGTGCCCACTCTGGGCCAGGTTGTGCTCTAGGGGCCGGAGATGTATCAGTGAGGACAACAGACACAGACCCTTGCCCATGGAGAGCTACCTTTCTATTGGAGGGACAGGCAGCAACATAAAAGGAGTGACTGATGTAATATGTTAGAGTATGGTGAGTGGTATGGACAGAAGAAAACGGAGGGCAGAGTATGGGGCTTTGGAGCAGGCGGAGGGCAGGTGTAAATGGAGGTGTGGTCAGGTGAGATGTGAGCAGACTGGGAGGGGCCGGGGGCGAGGAGGTGGCAGGGGGAAAGGACTGCAGGCAGAGGAGTGGCCTGGCCCCTCCGAGTCTCCGAGTCTCCGAGTCTCCGTTCCCTTCTTTATCAATGAGAGGGTGGGACTGGATGCGGTCGCGCATGTCTTCCAGCCTTAACCATTGATGAAAGCCCTTGAGGACCTGCCGTGTCAGGTGCAGCAGCTCTGGGCCTTCTCCCCAGCCTGTGTCAGATCTGGGCTTTGAAGACCTGGATTTCAGACTTGCTACCTGACCGACTGTTGCAAACTCCGGGCAAGCCACTACTTCACATCTAGATTCCGTTTCTTCAGCTGCTAAAAAAAATTGATAGATTACCTCCAAGATTTCAATTTTAGAACATAGGTCTGAAATTAATTTCAATGAGCATATTTTCACTTTCTTACCCAACTTCAGGTATGCTAAGGAATAAAACTGGGCTTCAGGTGGTGTTAAACCATCTGCTCTTTTCCCCCCATGAACTGGCCCTAAAAATCTCTGCAGCGACTGAATCTCCCACTACCCGTCCCTAAGTGTCCAGCCAGTGGTGGGGAGCTGGGGAAATGAGCTGGGGGATGCGGCACAGTGGATGGGCTGCTAGAGGCGTCTGCATCCAATGGGCTGGTTCTGAATCCTGGTTCTGAATTACCTAACCCGTCAGAGCCAGAGTTTCCTCATCTTTGAATTGAAAATAATACTTGCTTTGCGACAATATCACAAGGATTAAATGAGAAAATAAAGTTAAGCGCCTTGAAAAATGCTGGCACGTTGTAGATGCTCAGTGTGGAAAATGCTGCTATTATTATTACTCTGGTTTCTAAAGTAGAAGAAAATGTCTTGTCCTACCTATATTTTTTCCTTTACCTTCTTGGAGTATTTAAACAAAAGTACATTTAATGAAATTTGGGCCGACGGCATCTTGACTGGGCATGCAGAGCTGGCTGGGGGGCACAGAGGATGTGCAATGTATGAGCACAGACCCTGCCACGAACCAGCTGTGTCATACTCAGCTAAACCTCCTCTGAGCCTCGGGGAACTTACCTGTGAAATGGGGTGATAATAGTTCCACCTCCTGGAGCTGTTCTGAGGACCGCGTGAGTTAATACATGTAGGAGAACACTGAAAACGGTGCTGACATAAGTCAGCAGTCACCGAACGTCTGCTGCCCTGCTCATCAGGAGCCCTGGCTCTGCTACCCAGGCCCCGTGTGGCTGCGTCAGCCCTCCGCTCGTGAAGCTGCAGTTCCCCGTGGACAGATTAAAGAGAGAGTGGTAACAGCTACACGGAGGCTTGTTGCAAGGATCAACTTCACAAAAATGTAACCTCCACTAGGGCAAGGGCTTTTTTAACTTTTTGTTCTTCACTGCACCTCCAGAGACTAAATCAGTGCTTGGCACCCAGTAGGGCTATTTTTTAAATGAATGAATGGATGAATAAATGAATGGGATAATGTAGATAAGCAATAACATATAAGTGCTATATAAATGTTGGGGGAGTCCCTTAATTTTCAGTGTTTTTTCTTACATTTTAGTCTGGCTTTTTTTCCTTTTTTTAAATAATGAGGGTATCCCCAGGTGCCAGCATCTGGTTATAAATTGCAATTTTCAACACTTTTAAAAACTCTGACTGCAAGGCAATAATGCAGGTGTTTCCTTTCAGTTCACAGCAAGGAGATTTATGATTGATCTGAACTCCGTGGCATAAATAGATGCTCCTTGGCACCTCCTCCCTCCACTGTTGAACATTAATGAGTAAACGGTTACTAAGCTGTTAAGTGGCTGAAGTGGCAGCTACCACGTGGCTTCCCGTGTCCAGTGCTACCCCAGCTCTGCCACTGCGGTGTCCCATCAGCTATGCACGATGCCTTGTGGCCAGAGAGCCTTAGCTCACAGGTCTGGGGAGAGCCCAGGCTGCAGGGACCCCCAGGAAAAGCAAGTGAGACCTGCAGGTTCACAAACATGGTACCCACTTACCCTGTGCTGCCTTTTTTTCATCTGAATATTGTAGTTTGGTCTGAAGCAGATGGCATAAAGCCAGAGAGACATGCTAATAGCTCTCTCCAGAAAAGTGTGCACAGCCATCTGTTGGTTCCTTGTGGGAAAAAAAAAATAAGGGGAAGAAAAACCTGCCACCAACAGTAGCATCATTAGAGATCACAGCACTTACGGATCTTGGAGTTTAATTTTACACTTGGAAAAACGCAGTGAAGGCATTTATTCTACTATGACTCATTCACCTTTATATAGAGCCTTTTCCAGTCTCAGGCATTTATGGAGCAGCTGATATATGCCAAAAACTGTACTAGACAGAGAGAGAGAGAGAGAAAAACGGTTCCTGCTAGCAAGCGGTTTCCAGTCTAATGAGGGAAGTCAGACCAACTGAGCAATTACAACGCAGTGTGACATGTGCTGTGCTCAAGATGAACATGGGGGACAGTGCAAGCCCAGAGAAGGAGAACCAACTGAGTCTAGAGGGCAGGGCAGGCACCCAGCAGAGGCGATGCTGAACCGGGCCTCAGAGAGCAGAGAAGGAGCAGTAGGCACGGGAAGAGCTTGGGCTGGCTTTCCAGGCAGATGGACCAGCAGAGACGAGCAAGAGCAGGTTGGGTATTGTTTGCAGCTGCTGCAGGGAAAGGTGCCAGTGGGAATACGAACGGAAAATGGGGATGAAGGGGTGGCAAGGGGGCTGACCCCCAAAGGCTCATAAGCCAAACTAAGACATCTGAGCCTTATACTCAAGACAATGAAGCGTGATATTTGCATTTTAGAACAGTCTTCTGGCGGCAATGAGGAGGGTGAGATGGAGGCAAAGTAAAAAATAAGCTGGCTGGAGGCTGAAGCCTTCCATCCATTGACCAACATGGGCATCAGGGTTGGGGTGGTTGAAAGATCCGTGGGCAGGTCTCCATCCTGTCAGACTCAGCACCCCCTTTTTATGACAAGTATTTGTAATGTCTCCTTTAATATCTTGAAATGTGGAATTTATAGATAATATAACCTACCTACACAAATTTTCAAAAATCAATATAATGCCCTATCTGTAAATAAGGAAGAAATAAAAGCTAATTTATAATAAAAATATGTATTTCAATAAGGAAATACCCAGGTCAACCGCACTAGAGAACATACTAAGTGGTCAGGTGTGTATACCCGTAAATAGAATCCCCACAGGTACAGACTGATACGGGAGTGTCATGTTGGCTCAGATGCCATGGGAAGTGTTTCTGTCAGGGACCATGATTTTCCAGTTTGGTGAACAACTCTCAACAGTGTTCCAAATGAGGTGAAACACAGTCTTCCCTCAATGTACACAATTGTTACATTCCTGGAAAAGTAAGTGCATTAGAACTGTGCAAAGAAATTTTGAATTTCCATGTAATTCAAAGTCAAGTCTATACTCAAATAATTATAAACAGAACGTGGGGTGATTTTTTGCTGTGTACATTAGTCTCACACATTAGAAGATGTCCAGTATCAATGCTCTCGGCCCCTTAAATGCCGGTAGTGTCACCCTGACCAAGTTATCATGACAACCCACAAATTTCCTAATCATCCCCTAGGGGGCGGTAGCACTCCCATTGAGAACCATTGAGCCCCATCAAAGTAAATCAGAAAAACAAAGGTGCAGAATTCTTAGTCTATTGGTAGGTTCAAGTCGCTGCATTATTATGTGATAGGCGAGGCAACAGGCAACGTAAGCAAGTTTCAGGTTTTAAATGTCAGCACCAATGCCTCTTCCCCCCTCTTATTTCAGTGCTTCGGGACTAGGAGATCTCATATGGATATGGTCCGTTTTGTTTGTTGACGCCCCTGCCTCATTCCATAAAGGCATTTAACACTGCTAGATTAATCAGCAAGAAGCCTGTGTGTCCTGTCTCTGGCCCTCCGGAGCGTCCTCTCACCTTGCAAGGAAGTGGACTGGCTTTGAATGTTGGTCCATCCCTTATCAATTAATGAAGTGCAGGTGAGCCTGAGACTGGAGCGTGAGCGAGGCACCCTGCACACCATTTCTCTGGGCTCACCAGAGTCCTGACATGACCCGTGTCGTGACCAGTGCCACGGCGCCCACCTGTCTCCACTCTGGAAGTTGCTAGGGCTCCCTGTACCCACTCCTCCTCTTTTCCTGATCTCACTGCTCTGTGCCTGCAATTCTTCCTGACAGCCATGAAAATGCTGGTTCTGAGAGGCCAGGCAAAGCTAGCTTCTGCACCCTCTGCTCTGCCTGGCCTGGCCTGGTCTCCCAGGCTCAACTGCACATGCTCGTGGCCGTTGGGCCCCCTGAGAAGGGAGGGGATATCTGGAAACACATGGGAGTCTCCAGGCCTGCAGTGTGCTAAGACATTTGATGGCTAGACCAGGTGTACTGACGGTGCTCAGATCAGAAATCGCACTTGGCCATCTGGGTGAGACAGTGTGGTACGGAGGAAAGAACACTGGCTTTGGGGACAGATGACCTCAGTTCAGATCCTGATCCCACTTCATGCCAGCTGTGTCACCCTGGACGTGGTACTTTTCCTCTCTGAGCACCAATTTCCTTATCCTTAGGATGGAGATAATAATACGTACCCTGCAGGGATTTTATGAAGATGTAAAGCACCTAACACTGTACCTAGCACATTGTAGGCATTTAATAAATGGAAATTATTTTTGTTACTATTGTTATGGTGAAAAGTGTCACTTGCACTCCTTGCAAAATGATCATATCTCACCCAAAAGGAGGAATCCAGCAAACAGTTATCGTGGTAACATACGTGAGTGCACCCTCTGGAGTTTTGCAGTGCCCAACCTATGCCAGTGTGTGAGGTGCTCTTGAGTAGAACATCATCTACCTTTTTTTAGCATAATAATAGTACACAACATGATTATACCTGTAAGTACCATTTATTGCATGGCTGTTATATATCAAGCAAGCTATTAAGTCCTTTATAGGCTTTGTCTGATTCAGATCACACTCATTGCTGACATTTACTGGATGTTCACTCTGTGTCAGGTGTAGTACTGCCCCTTAACTATATAATCTCCATTAATCTTTAAAGCAACTCAATGAGGCAGAAGGTATTTTATGCCCATTTTACAGATAAAGAGATAGAGAGCTTATGAAGCTGTCCCTAAATTCCACAGATAAGAAGTGGCAATCTGAACGTTAACCTCAGCCTCTAAGACTCCAGCAGTCTGATTCTTATTCGCTCTGCACTCAGCGTTGATGCCAAGAAGGAAGATGTTATAACCTGGCTTGACCACAAAGAGCCTGCCTCTTAGAAGCTGAAGCAGTTGAGAATACCCCAGGTCTAGCAAGAAGGGGGCAAGATTCAAACCCAGAGGTGCCAGATTGCTGATCCTCTGCCCTTTCCACTAAGGCACACTGGCTCCTGAGGCCCCATGATGTCAGAAGCCTTTAACAGCTGAGGCAGTGTTACTGTTATCCCCCAGATGTCTGCCTGGCTTGCCACCTCACTGCCTTCTAGGTTCACCTTACAAATCACCTCCTTAGAGAGCTTTCCCTTGACCTCTGCTCTAGAAGGCAGGCTCCCTGAGAGCAGGGACTCCTGTCTTACTCATCTTTGCGTCCCCAATCCCCAGCATACAGCCTGACACTGAGAAATTGCTCAGTGCGTTTTTGCCAATCTCTTGACTCCCTGAATCATTCCTTCCCAGGGCTCCTGACTCTTTTCTGCCCTTCCAGGTTATGTTGCAATGGGCGCCGTCCTCCCATCCTTCTGGGGCCAGCAGCCCCTCGTCCAACAGCAGATCGCCATGGGTGCTCAGCCACCAGTCGCTCAGGTGATGCCGGGGGCTCAGCCCATCGCTTGGGGCCAGCCGGGTCTCTTCCCTGCCACTCAGCAGCCCTGGCCAACTGTGGCCGGGCAGTTTCCGCCAGCCGCCTTCGTGCCCACACAAACTGTTATGCCTTTGCCAGCCGCCATGTTCCAAGGTCCCCTCACCCCCCTTGCAACCGTCCCAGCCACGGGTGACTCCGCCAGGTCAAGTCCACAGACCGACAAGCCCAGGCAGAAAATGGGAAAAGAAATGTTTAAGGATTTCCAGATGGCCCAGCCTCCACCCGTGCCCTCCCGCAAACCCGACCAACCCTCCCTCACCTGTACCTCAGAGGCCTTCTCCAGTTACTTCAGCAAAGTCGGGGTGGCACAGGATGCAGACGACTGTGATGACTTTGACATCTCCCAGTTGAATTTGACCCCTGTGACTTCTACCACACCATCGACCAACTCACGTGAGTGCCCTTCTTTGGAGACGTAAACCCAATGAGAGCATTGCCTTCTTTCTGGGGTCAGAGAACTCATCTCAGTTTACATTCAACAGGCCTCTTTGTTCATATTACTACTGCTAGTAGTAATAAGAGTTACTAGTTATTAGGTATCAATTATAATGTATATACCTACTTTGTGTGTGTTATGCTCATTATTTTTATATTCATGACAGTGCTAACGACAAGTTTGTTAGACAGATAATGAAAGTGAGATTCAGAGACAAAGAGAATAGACAAAATGGTGGAACTGAATACAAGCCTGCTACTTTTCCACCATGTCGTATTTTTGCCTCTTATGTTTTATTTGGTCATTCGTTCATTCATTCATTTATGTATATTCCTGCTTATGACACACAGATATTGGTATGGCTTATTGGAATAAAAATGAATGGTGAATGTGAATTTTAAAAAAACTTTAGAAACAAGGGTAACAAATTAGAAGAGAAAATTAAGATCAGGAGAAAACTTAGGGCCAAGATATAGCAGCCATAAGGTCTCATAAGACTGGCGTAGTTGAAGCCAGATTTTGGCTCAAAGCTTTGGGTGGTCAAAGAGAAAAAAAGATGGTGTAGCGGAAAGCTCTAGCCTGGGAACCTGGAGAGCAGCTTTATTACTTGCTAGTTTTGTGCCGATGGGCAAGTCATTTTATTTCTATGAACCTCAGTTTCCTCATCTGTCTTAGGCTAAGGGTTATTAAAAGGATTCACTGGTACATGTCCTAAAATGTTGTGTACCTCACAAAGTTTGGAGCATCTTTATCATCATTATCATCACATATCAAGTGGTTTGGGGCAGAGTCCTGGACCAGGGTTCTAATCGTGGGTCCTCCACCACAAGCTGTGACTTTGGGCAAGCGTGTGACTTCTCTTAACCTCAGCTGTATCATGGGTAAAATGGGTAAGTTGTCTTAGACAGCTGTGTACCTCCTCCTAGTTTGGCATTCAGTGATTCTGCCCCAGCTCACATTTCTACTGCAAGCATCTGAAGAACTATAGCCATGCAGCCAATCAAAATCCAGGTACCCTTGAGCAGGCATGTGCTTGCTTCACACCATTCGGGAAGGTGTGTGGTGATTCAGTCTGTGCCTCGACAATTGATAAAGGGGGAAGAAAAGGCTCATGGAGGGATGAGTTTGGCATGTTCATTACTGTCACAGATGATATGGATCACTGCTTGGCAAATACTGTGGATTGTCAAGAAAATCTAATGTTAGCACAATTAGGTAGTGTTGTTTTGGCCAGGTTCGGAAGGCTGCTCTGAAAATGAAAGCCTTCTATGTGTATAACGACCTGCTCCCACTCAAGCCATATGATCTACATAGTGGGAGCATCTCTGTGAACTCTTAACTTGCAGGGTTCAATGAAGAATAATGAATAAAAAAGAAAATACTAAACAAATGACAGCCATGCATAAATAAGCAAGCATTTTTTAAAAACAAGTGTCCCTCTTTCAATGGGCTTGTGTGCCAGCTACAAATAAAAGAGAGGAGTTTAAGTTCTTTGAGGATAGGGGGTATGTCTGAATCATTCCTGCACTTCTCATAAAGCTGGCAGGGTGGGTAGCACATGGGAGGCATTTGGGAAAGGTTGTAGAGAATGAAACAAACAAAACAAAGGCCACTCAGTTACTGTTGTGTTCAGAGCAGGGTTTTGCAACCTTGGCACCATTAACATTTTGGGCCAGATAGTTCTTTGTTGTAGGGACTGTCCTGTGCACCGTAGGATGTTTAGCAGCATCCCTGGCCTCTACCCATTAGCTGCCGGAGGAGACTCCTCTCCCCTAGACAGGATGATCAAAAATAACTCTAGATATCGTCAGATGTCCCCTGGGAGTGAAATGCCCCAGATTGAGAACCACAATTTTAGAGTGTAGAGGTATTCTCTAAAACCTTCTAAAGGTTAAAACACTGGCATAAATAAACTCCTAGTTATGCTTCCTGTCGATTTCATCTGATAAGTATGAGCAGTATACCTCTCAGAACTCAGCCTGGGTTCTCAGCCTTTGGTAAGCAATAAACCACTTCAAACACAATTTAGAATCAAATTTCACTAATATTTATTCAATATCTACCACGTATCACAGGGTTTTCATATCGCTCATCTCACTTAAACACACTATAACTAGTTTGTTCCATACTCATCTCAGGAAACAAACAGAATTCCTTTTAGATTAAAAAAAAAAACTTAATTTATGGGTGAAACCTATCTTTATATCCTCTTCTCCATGAGCATCACCTTTAGAATGCTTTGAGTGGAGCATCAGTTGGACCAAGAGCAAATCGCAAAGAGAAATAGAAAAGTCCACGGCCTGGACAGGGTCAGACAGACCTGTGTAGATCCCAGGGCTCCTATTTCATAGCTGTGTGACTCTGAGAAAGTCACTTCACCTCTCTGAGCTGCAGTATCTTCATCAGAAAAAAACGATAGGTACAAGACCACCTTGAGATGTTTGTATTAGAGAACATAATGAATGCACACTGCCTAGCACAGTGTCTAACTCGCTGGAACACAATAAATAGCGACATTGTTCTAAATGTACGTTCATCAAGGCTAAAGGTACTCACCAAGTTTTACAATCACTCACTGCCTGATAAGCAGCCAGGATTTGGTAAATTCTGGGCAGCTATGGCAGGGAGGCCTCATCAATGACATCTGAAATTCAACTACTAAATTAAGCCACACCATCCCCTCACCTGAGGCTGAGCCAGTGACATGTATTTTCAATGCTACATTAGAAATTATCAAAAGAAGAGTAGCTTCAAATGGCATATTGGTGATAAACCTCTGGGGCAAATGAGACAAGGAAAATGCGGGAAGGTCAGTACAGAAAATGCATGTCCTTGTAGAACGAGGACTGAAGTGCCAGCTGTGAAGTTGCCACCAGCTACATCCATTTTCCCGGGTCATTGAGACACTGTTTATTCAACATGTGTTCTTCAAATACCTACTACGTGCCAGGATGCGAAGCCTGGCTCTGCTAGTTGCCAGCTGTGTGGCCTTGAGCAATTTAGCAACCTTCACTTTCCTTATCTGTAAAATTGGGAAAACTCCTACCTCAGAGGGGCTTTATGAGGGCTGGAGATAGTATCTGTAAAGTTTCTGACAGTGTCTGACACATAGAAGACACACAATAAATGTATATCACTGTCCTCTGATTTAGTCATATTAAACTAATTACGTGATGTTAAGAAAGAGAAAAGAAAGAAAATTATAGTCCAGTGGTTCTCAACTTGAGTGTGGAGAAACACCGAGTTTCTGACTCAGTAGGTCTGGGCTGGGGTCCAAGAATTCACATTTCTAACAAGTTCCCAGATGTGGCTGATGCTGCTGGTCCAGGGACCATTCCTTGAGAACCACTGCCTTACTCATCAGTGTGGACCAGCTCCTTCCTGATCATCAAGTATGTGAGAGGACAAAATAAATGTGAGCAGAGGAGGTATTAAACTCTTCAACTGATTTGACTTGTGATAGGAAGAGTCCTGTGATTGGACTTGAATATAACCAGACCCCTGAAGTTTCTGTGGGACACTTATGATGATTCCTCTTTTTGCATGGTCTCTGTGTAGCTCCAACCCCAGCCCCTAGACAGAGCTCTCCATCCAAATCCTCTGCATCCCACGCCAGCGATCCCACCACAGATGACATCTTCGAGGAGGGCTTTGAGAGTCCCAGCAAAAGCGAGGAGCAGGAGGCTGTAAGTGACCAGTTTGTTCTTTCTGTTTTTGTTTTTCCTTAAAATTAAAACCTCTCTATCTGAAATGGACAATGCATGAAGAAGCCTACGTAGAAAAGAATGCTAGCTCAGACTCTTAAGTGCTAAAAGGGCTTACTAAAGGGGCTTTCTATTATGTTCACATGAGCAGCTGAAAACATTGTCCTTTCATTAAGTTATTCCTACAAGTTCTTGCATTTTTGGGTATTTCATCCTCTAACTGAAGTTGCTGCCTCCTTGAAAATAACTGACTGTATGTGTGCATGAAAATATGCCCAGCTGTTTTTTATTTTCAGTTGTTGAAAAGGAAAAAAAAAAGTGTTATCTTCTTGTGTTCTAGCCTGATGGGTCACAGGCCTCATCCAACAGTGATCCATTTGGGGAGCCCAGTGGGGAGCCCAGTGGTGATAACATAAGTCCACAGGCCGGTAGCTAGATAGCGCAGGTCTGGGTAGGTATCTTCTTTTTATCCCCTTCACTCTTAAGCTATCTGCTTTCCCTTTTGCTTGTTCTTCACTTCTGAAGTCACATCCCTGGTGTTTGCACCATCTCTCCTTGCCTGAGTGTATCCCTGGTGCTTGCACCGTCTCTCCTTGCCTGAGCATATGTATCCCTGATGTTTGCACCATCTCTCCTTGCCTGAGTGTATCCCTGGTGTTTGTACCATCTCTGCTTGCCTGGTGTCTGTTTGCCGCCTCGTTTTTCCTCATGGGTGCATGACTTTTGACATATACTGGCAGGTAGGGGCAGGGGTGAGGAGCGGGAATGGTCATATTATTTTATTAATGATGTGTTCTGGGTGGGTAGTGGTGATAGAATGAGGCATGATCAATACCACTTAACATGGATTCAGTTTCTGAAAGCACCAGCATTCCGAGATGGACACATTCTGCCCACCCTGATCATTTCTCAGTGAGACGTGGTCCAGATGCTTTAATCTTTTAAGCAACGTGTCACTGCATTTGCCTATACTCCACAGATCTAAAGAGGTCGTCAACCAAACACACTGAGAAGCCAGACCAAGAAGCAAAAACAAGCAGTGCTTGAAATAAAATTGATAGAGATGGAAGATCAAGGTAGCCCATTTTGTCTAGCCAAAAGGGGCCGCGCACCCTTCCCAGTGAGAAAGTGAAATTCAAAGCCCAAAGACACGCAGCACGCACTTCCGAGGCTCTGCCCTTTGCACCTGTGGTACAGCATGTGGTTTGCCACCGACCCACTTCACATTCCATCAGCAGTTACTTTGAGAGAAGTGTACTTACATTTACTAGAAGTGCCTTTTGGCACTTGAATTTCAATACATCTGATTTGATCGAAAGAGAGGAGCTGATGGAGCAAACTTTCTCAGCAGACAGAAGTACACCTTGTTACCCAGACATGATTTCTAAGGTCGCTCCTTGACAAATGTGTTCAATTTTCAGATTCTTTCCTAGTTTTCCATAAATGTGTGGGCCTGCAAGGCCGTACCCACAGAGCTCCTTTTTAAGTCCTGAACAGCGTGGTCAGAACCATTAAAATGGTAAATAGTTTTCACCGTTCATAAATGGATTCTGAGGCTACCTCAGAATCATTCTCAGTTCACATCTAAGTTATTTTGACAGTTATTGAAAGCTAATACAGTGTTTGGAAAGTGCATTTTGTTAATAGATTTTATGATTAAAGAACTTAACATAGTATATATTTTGCCACATTTTATATCAGTACAATAGCACATAATAACACATCATGCCATGCAAAACCGTGTAATAGCCATCTGAAAATTCAGTCTTGCAAAGCTGTTTGGGGAGCTGGTGAATTAAAGACAAAGTCAATGTTCCAGGAAAGAGAAAAGTTGGGGATTATGTGTGACGCCTTGGGAAGGTTCCCCAAGAGATTTTCCACCCCTTGCATGTGTTTTGTTTCATGTGCTCTACCTTGCCTTGAAAAACTTGATGAATGAACGAGAGGTGACGAGCCATTCATCAGGATAACAGCAAACATCATCCTAAAATTGAAGTTCTTCTAAAATAAAGATGACTTACACCCTTTGCAGATCAATGTATTAAACCCTCATCTTTATGAGCCTGTTCGGCTTGAGACAGTCATACCAGCTGAACTGTTTCATGGAGCTTCAGCCTTTCCACATTTGATGTTCCATCCAGAACCCCAAGCTGGGGCTGAGTTGTACATGGACGTAGCATGGTGTAGTGGGAAGAGCTCAGAGTTTGGAGCTTGACTTCAAGTTCTAGCTCAGCTACTTAATAGCAGAATATCTTGGGCAAGAACCATCATTTCTTCTGAGTCTTGGTTTCTTCATCTGCTAGAAAAGACTTATATTATCCATTTTGTTAACTGAGATCGTGTAGGTTAAGTCTCTAGCATGGAGACAGACACTCAGTACTCAGCTTAAAATTCAGCCTAAAAATCTGGTTTCTGGAGCAAGACTGTCTGAGTTCAAATCTGGCTCCACCACTTACTAGCTATATGACCTTAATGAGATTTCATAATAATTTTCTATCTTATTTTAAAATGTAAGGATAAAAACAGTGTCTTCCTCATAGGGTTATTGTTTGGACTAAGTGAGGTGATGTATGTGGAGCTCTGAGCACAGTGTCTGACACGTGGAAAGCACCCAAAAGATGTTAGCTGCCATCACCACCATCACTGTCGTTGTCGTCATCGTCATCGTCATCATCATCATCATCATCATCATATTTGCTCATAAATGTTAGTTCCCCACTACTTTGGATTTTATACATTTAGATACATTTAGCCCTTATGTTGAATAAATTCTACTATAAGAACCCAGGCCATTGGCTAGGAGATTTTGCTTTGTACTTTCTATCTTAAGATAATTAATTTTCAATATGCCTCAAAACATCTTTGGGGAAAAAAAAGAGAAAGAAAAACCCTACTTCTTAGCTTGCTGGCTTGCCCTGTCCCATAATCAGAATCACACCAGTTAGGGCCTCATAGGCCACCTCTCAATTCCAAAAAATGAGCAGTCTTAGATTCATATGTAAATCATAATAAGTAGCTCCCAGCTCCAAAGGAGGGCTGGACTGTAATCTTCAGTGAAGCAATTTTCTCCCTTTGAAGGCTTAGGCTGGCAATTTCACAATTGCCTAGTAAGAATTGCATGCCAGGAGGCTGATGCCAGCCTTACAGACATAGCCCCTAAAACACCCACAAGGGTAGTCCAAATGAGCTTTTCTGGGCCCCTCCATCAACAGCAGCACAAGGCACATTTGATCTTTCTGTCTCTATCCCATTCACCCATCTGCCCAACTGGAAATTGACTAACTGCAATTACTTAATGCCTTTCCAGACATTTGGGGAAGGGATACCATGCAGGGATAGTTATTTCTATGGCTGTATTTTCCCCTCTGCCTTCGTACAGTCAGAAAGCAAGAGTCCTATCCTTCTTCTCGCTCTTGCAACCATTATCTCCAGCTGCTTTTTATTAGAGATACCTGCACAATTCTGAGTAGGTAGAGGTGACATCTGTTAAGTTAAAGCCGTATCACACCATAGTAAGAGGAAACAGGCGGACTCAGTCCTCGCTGGTAGAAGCTTCAGGGCCAATCTCAACCAGCATTTCTGTTTTAGCAATAAAGAGAAACATCTTCAATTATTTCACTTTTCTCCCTACCCTCCCATCTGGGAAAATCATGTGTCTTTGAAAGACTGGGTCAACAGGGGCAAAAAAGAACCAAAATAATATTATAATGTCTGGTGTGGGAATGGCAGGTAATTTATACTTCACTGATGTGTTTCTGGAGCAATTTTGAGGGCGAAATGTTAGCTTTTGAGGAGATGAAAGAAAAATGAAAACATTTATTTGGTTAAATGGCTAAGTAAATAAACTGCCTATCAGACTCTCCCAGCTGTCAAGTCAAAGTAGCATCTGTAACAATGGGGAATTGTTTGGTCTGTCTCCCTTAGTAACAATAGATATTGCCATAAATAAGAAGTCGCTGTCATTTTTTTTAATACTGATCTTCGTAGTAGGAATCTAAGACATATAAAATATTACCTAATGGATTTCTAGTGTCCAAGGGAAAAGAAAGCTGAATTTCAGATGCTTAGGGAGGAAGAATCTTTAAAAAAAAAAGAAAAAAAAGGAAAGAAAGGAAGAAAAGAAATGCACCGAGTCAGGGGACATGGTTTGAATTATGCTTCAAAGCAGATGACCTTAGACAAGCATATAACCCCTCTAAAACCCAGCCCCCTCATAGAGACAATTACAACCGCTCCTTCCCCAGGCTGTCCCAGAATCAGAAGATATCATGAATATGAAAATACCTTGTTAAGCTTTGAAAATAAAATACATGTATTTGGGATTATTATTACTATTCTGTTTTTTAAATAGAACCAAACAACAGAGCCTTAAAACTGAGAGCCACAAAACTAGAAAGTAATCTGTCTATTTCATGGACACAGCTCTCGGAGGCGAGTCCAGCCCAAGCCTTGGAGGAGTTCAGCCAGGAGGTGGGATGGGCCTGGCTGAGGGAGCACTGGCCAGGATGAAGAGGTGGGCTTGATGCCAAAGGATATTAAAAGATGAGATCAGGAGGAGGTTGAGACTGAAGGGAAATGGGAGATGAAGAAGACAGCATGAACTAGGATGACCCCGGGTCCCTGACCTGGGGATCTAGGTGGTGCCAATTACTGTGCTAAGGAACACAGGGCAGCATGCTTGACCAGAGAGAAGGCAAGTTTATTTTGGGACTAGTTGAACTTGAGGTGTCCATGAGACATCCAAGTAGAGATGCCAGGAGGCTGCTGGATATGAGACAGTGGGGGTCCAAAGAGAAAACCAGACCAGAGGGCAAGATTTCAACGTGGTTTTAAGCCATTGAAGTAGTGGACACTGGAATACACTGATCATTTACATCAGAGGTTGGTGGACTCTCGGTAAATATTTATGCTTTGTGAGCCGTACACTCTCTGTCACAACTAATCTACTCTACTGCAGTAGCAGGAAAGCAGCAAAAGACTGCATGAACGAATGAGTTTCAAAAAGACTTTATTTACCAAAACAGGCAGCCCCCAGAATTGGTCAGTGAGCTGTAGTTTGCTGACCTCTGATTTAGATCACGCTCACTGTTTCTAGCATCACTCTGCAGAAGGTAATCACAATGGCTTTCATTTACTACTACTAATAAAATATATTAAAAAATTACTAGCATGTTTATAGCACTTTCATGAACATCACCTAATTCAGTCCTCAAGGGAACACTCTTAAGTATTTTTATTATTCCTGTTTCACAGATATGACAGGTAAGGTTCCAAGGTTAATGACTTGATAAAAGCATAAGATTCTCCTGTAATGGGGCTAGGATTTGAATCTAGACCCAGATTAAATAGCTCACAAGCACTCAAGCAGGACTGGGACTCCTGGGTTTTAGCAGCTTCTCTTCGACTTAATCACTGTGTAACTTGAGGCAGATGGCTTCCTTCCTGACCTTT